TATGATATACTAAAACCATAACATTCAGAATGTGTTCGGTATTTTCGCCATAAGCATCTTTGCCATAGATATCTTTGCTGCAAGCATTCGTGCCAAACATTTTGGCCTCATAACTAAATGACCATAAGGCAATTTTGCTGGGAAAAAAAAAAATCACAAGAAATAAAAAAGAAATTTAAAAGGACATAATGAAACATGAAAAAATGAATAACAATATTAAAGACTATTTAAAATATGTGTAGATTCATGGCAAAACTGCTCAAATAATGATTTTATTTTGTGGATTGTACCTAAGCACTTGTCCTATTCTGTGGGAAATGTATTTAAAACTAAATCTGATCCTCAAAGAGGGCCCTCGACCTCTCTTTCTTTTCCTAAGGTAATGTGTTTCAAAATAAGAAATCAACTCTTAGGACATCTGAAAGAAATGCTAACTATTTAAAGACTACCACCTCCATACCTACTCATCACTCTACAGACCATTGGAAGAGCTATCTAAGATTTATAAATAATATAAAAGTGGGAGTAGCTGTAAGAACTTCCTCAATGGAAAAATGAAACCAAACTGACAACTAGCTTAAGTACATTAAATATGCTGAACTTGGTTGATTAATTTTTCTGTGCAAAAATAACCAACCAAACAAACCTAAAGTGTCAACCAGTTATTTTAATTTTTTACAGCAAAATTGCCTTATAGCCAGTTAATTATGCCATGAAAATGTTTGCCACAAAGATATCTGTGGCAAAGACGCTGCTGTGTAAGTACCTAGAACAGATTCAGATATAAATCATGTTTATAATATCATAATTATTTATAATAAAGGGCAAAATTAGTATGTCATTTATCATATACTATATTATGAAGGAATCAAATTTATGTACAGTAGGTCCTCAAATAACGTTGTTTTGTTCAACACTGATCCGTTGTAACATTGATAACATGCCATAGGAACTGAGCTCTTGTTTATATCAGCCTATAGCAAAGTTGTTTTATTATACGTCATTTCATTTAATGTTGCAGAAATTATCAAAAACATTAAGTGAGGACCTACTATATATAGCAATAGTAAACAGATCTGTATAGACCTTGCATGCAGTAACAGTGAGGCTCTAGTCCACCTTGCTATTTTGCATATCGACTATCACACTTTTATGAGGCCTTAATACATTTGTATTTGGCACCTCTTTCAGGACTGTGTTTCTTGAGAATAGGGATCATATCTCAAAATCTTTATTTTCCCAGTAGCTCAGTATTTTCACACCATATGGCACATCATGTGTGCTCGATAATTGTTCATTGGGCAAAATTGTGTATAGTCTTAAGCAGCTTTGATATTCCTTTTTCAGCACTTGTTATATGTGATATGGGGATGTACAAAAATTCATTCATCTCAAATTTTAATATGCTGTTAGCTTTAATGAAAATATGAATATGACAAAGAACAAAAAATTTAGAGAAATCATTACTTAAGATTCCAGTTAAAGAGCATTAAGACATGGACTAGTTCGCATGTGTTATTCATGAAAAACCTCATTTCAGGAGATAAAAATACATCTCAAAATCAAATTATATCATCATTTCAGCAGGTGGTTACTATAGCCCTGAAGGAAAGAAATGAAATTAACTAAAGGCTGTCAGGGAAAAAAACATGTAAAGCATTCAGAGTTTATAAAATTAAAACTTTAAATACAAGTTTGAATCTGAGTTTTTCACTCTCTTGTCTTAACTTCCCCATGGTTCCAGGAAGGCTGCATGCCCGGAAAAGGACAGGACAATGTGTGGCATTAATTTAATTTTCTGGCCAACATAGAAACCTAACAGCTGTCTCCACAGAACCATTAGGTTCAGAAAAATTATGTATTTGAAAAAAAACACATTTTTCAAAACTGTGAACTTTCATCTGCTTTATTGACCTCTCATGTCTACAAAACTGCCAGTCGTCTCACTTTTCTAGTCATAAGGTGGAGAGAACACTGTTAAGTGATGGTCAGGGCCAGAGCTGGAATAACTGAAACTCTAATCTTGCAGCTGTTTCAGCCCCAAAATATCAAGAGCATTTAAACATGACTAGGGGGCTCAAATATCAGAGGAAATATCACTGGTCGAGAACAACAGAAATTTATATTTGTCTGAACTCTTTTTTTAGGAAGAGAGCTTTGTTAATTGAAAGACATATATTAATAAACTGATTGTGGTGGGAGGGGGTTGCCGAGTAAGACCACAAAACAAGTTCAGACAATAAATTATCTGTAAAACACCGAGAAGATAATGGATGATGTTTGTTTTGTTTTGTTTTGCTGAGAATACACAAAATTATGGCTAGGAGAGAATTATTGTTCATACTGCTTGGCTCTTTACTAATTAATAAACAGCCCCTATTCTAAATAAATGTGGAAAAAATATTTAAAGAATATTGGTGTACTCATTTGAAAAGTTGTTAAATTTTCATGAATGTCTTAAATGAAGGTATTCTTCTTTCTTTCTATCTTATCCTTTCTCCCAAGGTCTTTGCCAAGGAAGGCTGTAGGATTTCATTCCTTAGGGGTCCTTAGGCAGAACATAGATCATGCTTTCCTAGTGATGAGAAAATAGACACTAGGACCTCTTAAATGTTTTCTGAACTCCCACACTTCTTCTTGTGATGCTCAATTAAAAGGTTGAAACATTGTCTTACCAATGTTAAAATCCTTTCACTCCTTTACAATTTCACTTATTCCAGTTGTACTCATGGGATGTTTACTTTTAAAAGCAAGGTTACATCCAAACCCAGATGACAGTGTCCCTTCTTAACGAAGATTTACTGAATACTATCAAATTAGGCAAATGGCATTACTTTCTTGAGTTGAAAACTAAATACCCGTGAAGTAAATGTAGGCTTGCGATAGTTTATCTAGCTGACCAGGAAACTTTCAAATACTGATTCGGATATGTATATATAATATTCTAGGATCTGAAAATCATCATAGAAAAGCTAAGCAAAAGATTCTAGTAGTCCACTGCTATGCACTATATACCAGGAATATATTAAGCACCTCCTAACAGAATTTCTTTCACCTAATCCTTTAGATTTTATTATCAGAAGCTTGTTTTCTTCTCTTTGAAGTTGTTGGTTTTTTTTTTTTTCTTTTTTCTCTCTAGTTTACAGCTCTTTAATAACGTGAAGGGCTTCACTCTAGAGAAGCACTGAAGCAAAGAAACGCTTCCCGGAGCCATACTGAGAGAATTAAAACACATTGCATTAATTCAGGCTTCTCATTCTTCCCTCCCTCTATCAACTAAAACAAGTTATAAACACAAACAAAAAGAATTAATGTGGTAGCACACACATACGGAAAATTTTAATTTTGTTTTATACTTTTTCACACGAAGAACAAAAGCATCCATAAAGCTGCTAAAGCTTTCCAACATCGCCAAGACCTCTTCTATGAGCCATTAAGTCACTGAAGCCCAGAAAATCGATTTTGGTTTAGAGCTGTTTGATAATGTAGTAACACAGTAAAATGTGATTCACCAATTAGCTCATGTAATTAGAAAATCAAAAACATGCTCTAAGTGGCTGCTGGACACACATAAATAAAGTTTATTGTCATTCTTTGCATTTGCTGATTATAGTTATAATTAACACCTTTGGTTGATATAATGATGTGACTACATTCCAATTCCTTATAAAAAAGAATTCACAAATATCTGTGTTTATAAGTCAGATAAATAAAATACTTAGTTTAGCTAGTCATTCATTCATTCCTTTTTTCTTCATTAATTCTTTCTTCCCAGGCTCTGTGTTAGGCTATCTGATTCTTGCCTCCATGGAACTTTCAAAAACTGTTTAAATTTTTCTAAATGAAGGAAAGTCAACTGAAGTTAGAATTTTACAAAAATTATCATTTTGTATTTAAAAGTTAGTCTTTCTGGCTGATTCCTAAATGCTAATAATGTTGCCGAGACACATGTAAGAAAAAAGAAACAACCGATTTGAGAAACTTTTTGCTTAGAAGTTTTGCCTGGCCGAGAAGGATACTGTAATAGATAAGAATGGAAACTGAATATTTGTTGGATTATTTTAAAACAGCTCTTCATGTTCTGTATGCACATCTGTTGAAATCTAAGGCATAAGTTATATGTTGCCTGGCTATATTTCAAATGTGTTCCTCTCTGTAAGTTCAAATCAATTCAAGGGTTGGTTGGATGGTTAAAAGTGTCTCACTAAGAACTTCAAACACATTCTACTTTACTCTTTTCTTATTTCCTCTGAAGTACATGGGCATGGTTACATGGTCCAGGGCTTCCTAATAAACATAACAAGAGGATAATAGAGATGAATGACCTGAGCTTGCGTCAATAAAATAAAGCCTTTCTTATAATGCATGGTCATTCTTAATGATACTTTACAGCAAAAAATGACATGTGGTTGTGCTGCCCTTACACTGATTTTTTACAGTCATATTTTAGTGTTCATTCATAGAAATTTTAACATATGTTAGGAAATTATTTCCACTGTAACTCTAACATTGTCTCTAGATGGTTTATTCTTTGTTAACTTATATTAATACTATTTTCATAACTGCCATTATCATGCTTTTTTTTTAGCTTAAAAAACAAACGATGAATTTTAAAACCACCCCCATAGAGAAGAGCACAGCAACCCTGCAGGTGTCTGCAAATATGCTGTTAGGGCCTTGGCAAAGCTTTGACCAATTAGAGAAATTCTGTGCAATGCAAGCGTAATATGTAAATACGTATTTTGTATTCTCTCCCAAACATTATGAAATTCTAAGGGAAGCAGTAAGCTTTAAATTTTTTTTTGATAGAATTTTGCTCATATATTTTAAAATAACTTAGATTATATTTTATTTGCATGAAAACGTGCAATCATAAAAATCAAGAAAGTATGATTTATTTATAGCTAGAATGAAAGTTAGCCCCCAAATGTTATCAAAAATGAAGCAGTGTCTACCTCAATATATATTTAATCATCCTCTTTCTTTTTTTCTATTTACAGGTCAATGGAACAGAAATTGAATATGAGTTTGAAGAAATTACTTTGGAGAGGGTAAGAAAAATCCAATAATCCAAAGCCAAATTTTGCTTTTCACATTCTGCATCCTAATGGGTTATCCCGTGAAATTACGCAATCATATATCATACCCTGGAAGTTTTTAAAAGGACTCGCAATGAAAATATTAATGAAATACTTGCAGTGGAAGGCATGGAGACAAGCAGACCAAATAACCTGAATATTCAGTGTATAGATTGCATTGCCAGGATTTGGAGAAATGAAATAAGACAGAAAAGTTCAGTGATCTAGTACAATGGTTTTTTTTTTTTCCTATTGTTTTCCTTATTGATGTTTTGCCATACATTTTTAGATGCATTCTGAAATATTTTTATTTCTGTGATATTAATACTATAACTACCATTACAGTGCATTTTTTAGCTTAAAAAAAAGTGATAGATTTTAAAACCACCTTCGTAGAGAAAATCACAGCAACCCTGCAAATTTCTGCTATTAGGGCCTTGACAAGGCTTTGACAAATTAGAGACATTCTGTGCAACACAATCTTGATATATAAAGATATTTTATAAAATAGTAAAAGAAAAGCCAAAGACCACATAGAAAAAAAATGTCCAAAAGGCTTTAACATGATATCCATGAAAAAAAAAAGTCTAATACAAAAATCTGTTCAACTTCATTAGTAAACAAAGGAAACAATAGTACTAAACTGTTTTTTTTTTACCCAACTGGCAAAAAATTTAAAAAGAAGGTTTATTGAATGGTTTTGGAAATTGGTGGAACCGTAAAGTAGCAATTTAGAAGAATGTATCAAAAGCCTTAAAATGGGCACACTTTTTCACCCAGAAATTGTACTTATTGAAGTATACAAATTGTACTTATTGAAATATACAAATGCACAAATATTCATATTGGTATTATTTATAATAGTAAAGATTGAAAAAGATAAGTGTTTAATAATACATTATTATTCATCCATATAATAGAAAATTATGTTGTAATAGTATTTTTAAAATATTTCATTGTAAAGATAGAGGTATAGGTAGATTATATTATTAAATTAAAAATCAAGTTTTATAATAGTATTTAAAATATAATCCAATAAGCCTAAACAAAGGTATACATGCATAATATGCATTCATAAATATATACATACAGCCTAGAAGGGTATACGCCAAAATATTAAAAGTGGTTAACTCTTATGGAGGATTTTTGGGTGATGTTTTAGTTTCATTCTTAGTTTTTCTTTATATTCATTTTCTGAGCCTTCTACAACAAACATATATTACTTTTATAATAAGAAATAAAAATATAACTATTTTTCCTAAGCTATCATTCGAGTATAAGTTCACACTATAGATTTACACTTAAAATAATATTTTCTTTTTAGTTTACTGATAATGCACTCCCGAGTCAGTGAATTTATCATTCTCAGCCTAATTTTTATTGAGTGTGAGTGGTTTTAAAAGAAAATTTACATTGAAAGTTAAGTGTTTGACAAATGGGTACTCTAAAACTTCCATTACAAACTCCGATAAAATTTAATGGCATGCTAAATGGAGAAAAGTGAAGCTTATGGAAAATTAGCTCAAATGAGGAAAAAAAACACATTTCTCCTTATAAATCACTAATTTTCACTCCAGAACTAGCTACATAATTTGTACAAAGTGAAAATGTGGTGCCCCGGTTTAAAAAATAATAATAATTGAAAGATGGCAACAGCAGAGCATTAAACCAAATGCCCTTTCTACGTGCAGGGCCCTGATTGCACAGATCTTGAACTCATGAGGCCAGCCTTTCTCACTATACTCTACACATATAAATATCTTGACTATAAGTACCATTTAGTTTTATAAGTCAAGAAATGATTAGAAGTTAATGTTGGTGTGAGGTACAGCATTCTGTAGAAGTCCAACAATTGTGGATTCTACTCTGGGTCTGACACTTACTTGCTTTATGATCTAGCGTATCATCTCCCTTACTTCGTGACCTAGGGTTTCCAGTCATACTCTAAACCTCGTCATTGCCATTCATTGTACACCTCCTCCAAATCTCTATCTATATTAAACATCATCTTTTTTGAACACCACCTCTTCTCTGTCCTTATCATTTATTCTGATATTCCTACTCCAAAAATTTCTCAACCCCACTGGGATCTTGAATCACTGATTTCATCATTTCCCTCAAATTTTTAGCCTTCTTTATTCCCTCCCTTCCCTCCTAACTTATATGTTCCAATTCTCTCTCTCTTACACTCATCATTTTTTCTCCTATTTTTTTGTGTGTGTTCATCCAACAAAACCTCGTCTCTGGTTAATCTACCCTGGTTAAACTAACACTTTCCTATTTATTCCATGCCAGCACCTAGGCAACTGAACATGGATAGAGAAGCACTCACTCATCTCACTTTAAAATTATAGCTATTAATTTCAAATGGACCCTCCAAACATTTTAGCAATTTTGATACGTTTCTTTAGAAAAATCACTTTCTTATTCTCTGGGACAATTTCACGTCTATTTGCACTTCTCAAATCTCTTAACACATCCTCCCTCATCCTTACTCTCAGTTGTTGACCTCTCTTCATATGTCCTAAAGAAAATCCAAGCACTCGAATGAAAACCATCTTACTTTCCTACCAGTAGGTCTGCTCATAAACTCCCCCTGTTATGATGAAGGAATTTTCCCTGGTCATTTCCAAGGTCAACTCTTCACTTGTGACCTCTTATCCATTTAAAGAGTTTGCTTCTGCAGTTTTCTCCTCTCCTGCAATATCAGTTTCTCTCTCGCTTTTTTTTCCTGGATAAATTTAATACAGACATGATGTAATATTTTGACCCAATGTTCTCTCCTGTTACTGCTTTATTATTCTATTTCGCTTTACCGAAAATCTAGTAGGAAGATTATCTATTTTCATTAATTCCACTTTATTACCTCATTTTCTTATTTTAATCTATTGCATGTTTTCATCCCCGCAATAGTCCTGAAACTCTTCCTATCAAAGTCACAAAAGATTCCATCTCGCTAAGTCCGAGTTTCACTTCTCAGTTCTAACTGACTTCTCAGCAGCAATTGATGCAGCAGTCACTGCCTCCTTCCTCAAAGATGTTCATTTCTTGGCTTCCAGAACGGAACAGAACATTCTCCTGTTTATTCATCTGTGCTCTTTCTCAGTCTCCTTGCTGGCCCCTACTCTAAATGTCGGAGCACCACAGAAACCCAATGCATAGACTTCAATCTCTCCTCATTCCCTGGGTGATCTCATTCAAACCCATGGCTTTAAATACTATGAACTGATGATTCCAAAATCTAAAGTCATGACCTCTCCTTTGCACTCCAAATTGGACAGCTAACTGTTCAGTCGGCATCTTCTGTATGTTCCTAAAAGAATTTATGATTTCCCTGCACTCCCTACCCTCAGGGTCAAAACTGCTCCTATCCTCATTTTCCTCATCTTAGCTAATTTGATCTATCATTTTTCTTATTATGCAGGCCAAAAAAATCACCTATGAGTCTTCTTTAATTATTCTTTCTCTCTCAGCATCCAGAGCAAATCCTTTTAGTACTACCATAAAAATATATTTCAAAATCAATCACATCTTCTACCTCCTCTGCCAAATCCTAGTCCAAACCAATATCATTTCATGCCTGGACCACTGTAATAGCTTCCGCTTTTGCCTACCTTTCTCTTCTAAGTAGCCAGAATAATCTTTTAAAAAATATAAACCAGATTATACCACTTTTAATCTTAAAACCCTCTAAGAGATGACAATTAGACTCATTGTCGTCACCCACAAGGCCTTATACAATCTGAGCGCTGTTTTTCTCTCCAACATTATGTCCTCACCACCAGTTCCTTAAATATTTCACTCTAGCCACACTGAATTTCTCATTATTTCTCAAAAAAGACAAGCTTTTCCTACCTCTAGGCCTTTTATACATGTTATTCTATTTGCCTGAAATATCTCCTCTTAGAACTTCACACGACTTGATCTTTTCATTATTTAAACATCTGCTCTTCTCCTCAAAAAAATATGCCCTGTAAGCACCATTTAAATTAGTACCAACATCCCCATCATACTTTTCTTTCTTCCCGTAGCTTTATCTTTTAATTGCATTTACCAATATATGAAATATATATTTTCTATTTTTGTATGTATGTATGTATGTATGTATGTATGTATGTATGTATGTATGTAATGTTTACTATGTTAACATCCTTCTCCCAAATATAGAGTCATTTTTATATCCAATCTGTCTCAAACAGTCTGGAATGTAGTATACCCTCAGTGAATATTTGGTAACAAGTGGATTATGCCTGTGCTCTGTCACTGCAAGTACAGTGAAACAGAGACACATTGCCTGCTTTTGAATCCTGGCTCTACCACTTACTGATTGAGTTATTTTGAGCTGAATACTTAACCTTTCTGTGCCTCAGTTTCCACATCTTAAAACAAGGCTAAGTATTTGTAATGACTTCCTAGGGCCCTTGTGATGATTAAATGAGTTAATATGAAGATTTAGAACAACATGCATAGCTGTTATCCTTAACATTTTCATTAACATGGTAGTTCTCACAAGTGTTGTCAGAATCATTGAAAAAGCTTATTAAAAACCTAGCTTCCTATTCTCAGTGAACAATTTACATTAATCTAGCAAGAACTTCTTTCATATCAGATTTTTATTTACTTTTTTAGATATCAGACATCCAGTAATGAAGAAGTTACAGTCTTTGCTACATGCATTTACAGCTTACACATTTTCTACATTTAATCTCTGTAACATTTAATTTAGTAATTAATCACTTTTAGTAACCTCCCTATGAGGTGAATACTGCTAACTCTCTTTTACATATTAGGACATTGAGGCTCAGAAATAAAATCATTTGTCATGAATGATAATGATAGTCAGGGATGGAGCTAGGATTCAGCCCCAGGCCCAACAGATACTAGAACATAAGCTCATTACCACTGAGCTAGACTACCTTCAAAATTAAGCTCAAGTGTCACTTCCTCTATTTTCTTATTTTCTCCTTTTGGGC